ATGTTAGCTCAGGGCCGGTCTTCCTCAGCAAAAAAGAGGAGGATTGGCATGGATGTTAGTTCAGGGCTGATCTTCCTCACAAAAATAAATAAATAAATAAATAAAAAATAAATAAAAGTGGCCTATGCTTCGAAGAGACCACTGCACTTGAGTCTCAAACACACAAAGGCATCGCCTCCCTGTGTTATTTCCAGTCCTGCTGGTGAGCTCTCTGACCCTGACACCACTGTGCTTTCTTGCCCTTGGAACTTGATTCGGTTGCCCCCATTGACACATCAGGACTCGACTCTCCAAACTCCAAACATTAACTGCATGGTCACCAAGAGACACGTGGGACGCTCACAGAAGGAATGGCATGGGAGCAGAGGAAAAGACCCAAGAGCTGGCTGGGGCACAGGGAGGAGTAAATTTCTTCAAACTCTTTATCTACTTTCTGTTACCTGTCTCCGCAAGGGGATGCGCTTGGTCAGCTTGTGCACAGCCGGCTGGCTGCTGAAGTCCGGCTTCTTGGTCGTGGTCTTCATTCGGCACAGGATGACCGTCACCACCATACAGGCGATTAAGAAGACCCCTATGCAGTAAATGGCTATCTCCAGGTAGTCTGGGGAAGCTGTAATCTCCTTTTCTCTTACGGGAGCTAGATTGCAGATCACAGGGAGGAACAGATAAGCAGGCCACAGAGTTAGGATACCGGACTGATCCATCCTGACATAATTAAAGGGATCAAAGGGACAGAACTATTCCCATGGATGGGCTTCCTGGTAACTCAATGCTGCAGAATGGCATGGTCCATGGCCCCGCCACACACCTCTCCCAGGTGCAGGTGAATAACCAAGGGCTCCTCACTTTACCACCAGGGCCCAGGTGGTCACTATCTCTAGCCTCACTGGGCCTCTACAATCCAGCGATATATCAGATGCCACCAAGGTAAAAAGGGCAGGCTACGAGGCCACATTTTGCTAGACATTTGGGCAGAATAGGACAGTCAACCACACACACAACAAAAAGGCTGTCTTCCACGACGGCCTCTAAAAATTCTAAAATATGAACAATGCCCACTTTTGTTTCTGAAGGGACAGTGACAAGGCCTCCGGCTTATTTGAGTGGGCTCTTCCAAAGGAAGATGCGACAGGGTGATTCCCCAGATGAACATAGTTCCATACGATAGGAACATAGTTCCATACGATAGTAGGCTGGCCCGAAAAAGTTTCAAATTCCTTAATATAGTCCAGCATATTATTCAACCAAACAAATTCATTTAATAGAAAGATTGAATTGCTTATAACAGAGAATCATAATGTCCATACTACAAAAAGTTTGTAATATTCTTTAATCAATAGCCATTTAAATTTTTGTGTATCTGGTTACACATCTGGTTACATTGATGTTACTACAACTTTTCTCTTAAAGAAAATATAGAAATGGTATTGCATGCGAGTATACATATAATTACTTAATTTAGCACGTTCTTATATCAACTTCCAATAATATCTGCTCCTTCTTTAGTCCTCAACGGTCAATTTACAGGCAGTGTATTTCCAAACAGTACTTTTCTCAAACTGCATTCTTAGTTAATGCACTAGTCATGTCAGGCAAATTGGTCAAGAAGTGCCAATTAGGCACTTCCTTCTAGAATGCAGTACTGTAAGTAAAAGCAAGCTCAATGTAAGAGGCATCTAATTGTTTCAAAGCAAATATTCAGAGCAGACTCACAACAAAAGGAAAAATGGATGCGATGGTATTATTTAAAGCTTATACATTTTAATCAGAAAAATACTTGCAAGATAGTCAAAACTCTCGGCAGCACAGCACATGATGAAATGATCGATTCATTCTTACTAGATATAAAGTAAGCATGCAGGTAGGCACTGTACTCTAAAAATAAGGAATTAATAACTGGAGTGGAACATCATGAACTAGCAAACCATCATCTATGCAGTTTCACAAAGGAAATGACCAAGAGGCAGAGGCATCACAATAGATAGTGATTATCAAGAAAGTTTGGGATAGAGATGTCAGTTAAAGATTCAGACAGTAGCAATATTTAGGCAACAGGGCTTCGCAGATGTTGATTTCTCAGAGGGCAGAAATAACATCAGGCCCAAGATGGCAGGAGCATGCTTTGTAGTAAAGCAAACTGAGAATCCCTTCTATCGCATCATGCAGCAAGCCACCGATTCCCAGGGAGGTAACACACTGCTTCTGTACAGCCTACATTTCGAGGTGCTTCTCCCCAGGCACCTCAACATACATCCATCTATTTACATCTCATTAAAAACAGAAAGCGGAACAAAAGTAATAAAAGTACATATGGGATTGTAGCAAAATGGAATTCGAAATGAGAAAAAATTACTTTGAATTTTCCAAAGTAATTTCAACTTCTTCCTTAAAAGAAATGGGGATGGGTGAATTTATACATTGACTCAATGACTCACTAAAAATATAAGATCCCTTTGGGTTTTAAGGGTGAAATTTCACATAAATGTGAGTGTGGGATCTCATTGTAAGTGAATTTCCAAGGCACCCTTCTTATCCCTGGGGGATAATTTTAAACATTTTTTAAAAATCTTTATGTAAGGATAAAAGGGGCCATTTCTGAGAACAGAAGCTGTGTTAATTTTATAGCAATCAACCAAGAAAAGGAAAAAAACCATGGAGAGAAAGAGCAGTATATACCTGGCAGAACTGTCAACCATGCAGAGTGAAAGGAGATCCCAATAGAATTACCCGCCAAGCACGTATATTCCCCAGCATCCTCAAAAGTTACATTCCGAATATAGAGAACCTCAATCTCTTTGTCCGTGGTATTAACACCGGCGGCCTAGAAAACAAGGGAAGCAAGAGAGAAGGCTAGACAACAAGGAATGATTGTGGAGGGGGCCATGGAACCATGAGGCGTCGCACCGGAGGCTCCAGCGGGTGCTGGCCACCAGAAGATTCCGATTGCAACCCATCCACAAAGCCCACAACCGAGACACTGAGCAACACTGAGCAGCTCACCTCCACAGGCCCGTCACCACACTGGCTTCACCACCTAGACAGGCATGCAATCAAACACATGGAAAAATCAACCCACAGGAATCCATTCTTTTGCCCTTTGCTTTGGATTTGAGGGTGGTTTTCCAAAAGGATAGCACCCAAGAGGCTACGTTGGGTTCTGGTTCTGTTGGCTGCAGAGTCCCTCCTTGAGAAAAGGAGGGTTCGGCCTAAACTGTTGTGTTGTAAAACACACACTGCAGATAAGCCCAAGTGGACACCTTGCACATCCTTCCAGCTCTGTGGGAACCAAGCAGGATGGAAGGTCATGTTGGTTACCAGGGTCTGGTTATCTTTACCCCTGCATAACCATCTTAACTTACATTGCATTGAAAGAAAATGGAAGAAAGCATGATCTTGGTAGCAAAGAAACTGACTCTTTTTTTCTTCTTTAATATAAGTATTTTTTTTTTTTTTAAGATTTTATTTATTTATTTTTTTCCTCCCAAAGCCCCAG